TCGACAGTTATTACATGTGCACAACTTTTTTCCAGTCTTCTTGGGTTACTAATTTAAATTCAATTTCAGCTAACATTTGTACATGTGCTAATTTAAAATGAATATTCTTTATAACTACATTGTTTTTTACTACAGCCCTGATCATTTCTATTGGATTTAAGTCTGAGTGGTATGGTGGTAATCTCAAAATTGTATGACCGTGTTCGGAGAATAATCTATCAAATTTGTATTGCTTGAATCTATTTTTATGCTGTTTGGTTAATGTGCACAGCTGTGGTCGTAATAAGGAAGGTTGAAATTCAATATTGTTGGACGTCAACAAGTTTATCATATCAGCTTTTCTTGAATTTGAATTCGGAGCAGGACTATAATATTGTGATACGCAGTGACGGATTTAGGCTTGCTGCCGCCCTAGGCCCCGTTCGATACACCGCCCTTTTTGATAAAATGAATTTCATTAATTTTTATCCAATATTTTTAATATACATCAGCTCACATACTTTAATTTAAAAAATTTCGAAATTGAATTCTTGCACTTGGATTTTCAAAAATTATTGAAATTTGTAGATGTAATTGAAGATTTTGCAAATATGAGAAATATCGAATTAATTTTTTTTTATTTTAGATAAAACTTTTAATTTTTTAACAGTTATTTTGATGATTTAAAAAATTGAATATGGAAAAAGACAGGATTTATTTTTCATAAAAAATTATTTTTATAAACAAAAAATGTTCTGACACTTTTAAATGAATATCATAACGATATTCAATACCCCTGAATAAAAAAATACTGAGACAAAGAAAAAAGTATTAAAAAGTATTGGATTGAATAGAAAACCAATACTTTTTTCTTTATCTTAATACTTTTTTTTAATTAGGTACATGCAAATCTTCGGTATTTTTATTTCACACTATAAACAAATAGAGAAGTCATTCGGATTTAATAATTTCAAAATGTTTCATACACGTAAGATTAATCTCACTAAAGGAACAAAAAGTAAAGAATATTACTCGATAAAGACTATAGTTGATCGATTAAAAAATTAATATGTTACCCATATAGATTGAGAAGTAAATTAATGAATTGAATTATAATATTTTCTATCAAAAATTTTTTATAAAAACTAATCTGAACCAATTTTTGAAATTGATTGTCTTTGCTTTTTTGTGCCTCTAAAATTTTGGCATTTCATAAATTTTGCCGCCCTTCAAATTATGCCGCCCTAGGCCTGGGCCTCATGGGCCTAGGCGTAAATCCATCACTGGTGATACGGTGCGTTATCCACAACTACAATAGCATTTGGTGGTAAATTTGGTATTAACAGTTCTCCTAGCCACTTTTCATAATTTTCTTTATTCATATCATTATGATAATCACCAGATTTGGCCCCAGACACAAACATTATTAAACTGTTAGGAATAAAGCCCATGTTACCACCAGCATAAACTATAATATGTCTCTTTCCTTTCGAAATGGTGGAAAACAAACCTTTTGCATTATCATCACCCCAATTATGTGATGATGTAAGGCTAATATGTATATAAGTTTTATCAATGTATACAATGGGATGGTTTTGAGAACGAAAATATCTAATTTTTTAATATAATCTATTCTTTTTCCCTGATGTCAAGCCGTTCTATTAGAACCTGTCTGCTGTTTCGCGTTTTTCGCCACTTGAACCCAATTTTTTTTTAAGAGTTCTTAATGATGTGTAGCTCCCTTTCCATTCAATTTCCTTCCTTCAATTTTTTACTAAGAGTTTTGACTGTTACGCGCATACCTTCTGTTTCGCGAAATTTATGAAATATATCTCTAATTGTTCCAATATTGTAGGATGGAATATTTGTTACACTTGTTGTTCTTCTGCGCTTTTTTGAACTTTACGAATAACCATCTTAGTATTTACTATCAAAACGTCGGCGGTATGCGAACCAGGCTAAGAGAATTTAGACATAATGTGCTAATAGGCTCCTATGATATTATAATCCTTGTTAAAACATGGTTAAATACTGAATTATCTGATGCAGAAATTGGACTTGATAATTTTGTCATCTATCTTGCTCAAAATGGAGAGGGGGTGGTACACCTATTGCCATAAAAAACACATTGCAATCAATACGTTTGAACACTGATGACTGTGGAACATGTCTTTGTTTATATAGGAAAGCCTAATTTTCTTAATTCTATTATTCTTGGTGCTACTTACATACCTCCAGGAACCGATAGTCAAACTTATTTTATTTATGCTCAAAGTGTCGACTTAATAGTGCGGAATCCTGATGTAAATATCTCTTTGGTGATTATAACCTTCCACTTGTTAAGTGGCAAATAGTTGATAATATTTTTAATGTAAAGCCCCCTTCCGAGTACCAGGGAGTTACTCTCTGTGAAATGTTCTCTTTCTTTAACTTATATCAAATTAATTCTCCTAATAATCATAATGTATTTCAAAACTTAATTTTTATTCAGTATCCTAATTCTATTAGTCTGGTGGAAGCTGATTTGCCATTACCTAATAACTACCACCATGTTGCTCTTGTGGCTACTCTATCACTCACTATCTGTTATTTGTAAAAATCTTCAATACTCGGAACTTTACTATGATTTCAAAAATGCTGAGTATAGAGGTTTGAATAACTATTTAGCACCAATTAGTTGGGAACAAATTTTCGATGAAACCAATATTAACTCAACTATAGCTAAGTTTTATCAAATAATCAATAATGCATTAGCCATATGTGTCACATTAAAACGAAGAAAGCAATCTACTCTCCCGGGTTGGTTCAGTCCTTAAACTTAAACAACTTATTTGTCAAAAAAAGGCTCATGTAAAACACAAAAGTACTTTTAATTATGACGACTATTTACAATTTTCAAGTTTAAGTTGCATGTGTAAGACTTTATCCACTGAGTGCTATGCTAGTTAATATAAACAATGTTAATAAGTCAATTTCAAATGATCCTCGTCAGTTCTGGTCTTATTTTTATTCAATAAATATAAGTTCTCAACTTCCCGATCAGATGACACTGGACGACAATGCACGTAAGGATGGTAAATCTATTTCTATGTTATTTGCCGAATATTTTTCTAAAAATTAGATTAATTATCATAAATTAAACTCTGATAACTGTCACTTAAGTTTTACCTCCTCAGTTGATATTGGACCTATATGTTTTACCATTGAGGATATATTCAATGGTATTAGTGGTATTAAGTGATAAACTAAGCAGTGTTCCTGATAGAATTCCATCGTATTTCCTAAAACGTTGCATTTACTCTGTTTGTAAACCACTACACATATTGTTTAATTTATCACTAAATCTTCAACAATTTCCTAACTCGTTGAAGAAGAGTTATGTTATAACTGTATTCAAAAGCAGATCCAAGCAGGAAATTAAGAACTTTAGACCAATTTCGATTCAATCCTCTACTCCAACATTATTGGAGACGCTGGTAAATAATTATTTATCTTGGCACTGCAAAAACTTACTTATTGATCAGCAACACGGTTTTATAAAAGAAAAATCTACTGTTACGCAGCACTCTGTAGCGTGCTGCAGTCGTCATAAGTAAAGGTACGAGTAAATGAAGAAGATAGAATATTCCAGAAATGTCTCGAAATGTCATTCCTTGTCAAAGAAAAGTCCAGATTGAGTTGCCATAAGAACTACAAGGAATAATAGTCTATTTGCAACTCAACTTCACCTCACTAATTATGCTTATCATGCGCCCCTACCTAGACTAATGAGACTGGCTAGTCAATACAATTTAGATGTTACTGTGTGTTCAATTAGTCAATTCCAAGAACGATGTGAAGAGAATATGTTTTTAATAACTTTGGTATATTTCATCTCATGTATTTAATGTTAAGATTTTTGGTACCTACATTTTATAATGTATTTAAGCTATTTTATGTAATTTATGTATACTAATGGATCTTTCCGTAATATATATGTATACAGTGTTGTCTACTTAAGTTGGAACCATATGGAAACCGAAATTATTATTTATTTTAGGAAATAAAGTTATTCTTGACAAAAAGTCCTGCATGACCCAAAACTTAAAACACAGTCATCAGATACCAACCTTTTCAAGCTAAATTCTTTAGAAACATCAAGAAAAGGAAAACGTATCATGTTTATAGTAGAGAAGAAAGAAACTATTTTAAAAGCTAACGTAATTTATAACGTTTTCAGATATTTACAATCAATGTGTAGAAAAGTTTATTAAAAATAAGAAAATCTGTTTTTTTAGATAGATCGGTGTAATTGCATATTTGAATGTAATTTCCAATTCTATTAAACTTTTCTTAATTAAAATTTTCGATTTTGTCAAAAATAAACGTACTTTACTCTTGAGCAAAATTCATATTTTTTGACAAACCTCGTAAACGGCATGAAAAATTTGATATCTGATGACTGTATCACAGTTTATAGCTTAAAAGAATCAGTTTGCTCACTCGCACCAATTGGATGTTCCAAAATAATATCCACTCCAGGGATACAAATTCAGGATGCGCAGAAGAATGCTGTTTGAATATAGGCGGTTGTCATATATTGTACTGGTTATGAATTGATTCTGTATGTGCCAGGGATACAAATCCGAGTTGTGCAGTGTAAAAACTGGAACATTGAGATCAAAAGTGCCGACGCAGAGTGATCGAACTGATTCTTTAGCTATAAACTGTGACTGTATATTGTCGTAATTTAAAAAAAAAGTCCTGGGCTATAAAAAATGTTCAGGAGATGGTTTTTGTTTGACATGTTTGTCAGGATATATTAGAATACAGGCAGAATACATTTTTAATATCCAGAGGAGTGCATTCAAAGAGTTTGGATTCCGTACGTTCTTGAAAACTGCGTTTTATAGCGATAACATGTTTTTTAAGGTTTTGGTCATGCAGGACTTTTTATAAAGAGAAACTTTTTTTCCTAAAATTAATAATACAAATTTTTTCCATATGGTTCCAAGTATATATTTATATATTTAATATTTTAGGATGATGGTGGCAGTTCCGATGCAACACCACTGAATTTATCAGGTGTAGAAGGTGTATTTTGGGTTACGATAGGTGGTACCATTTTAGCAATATTTTTTGCAATTTTGGAAAATTCCATGTATATACTCAAAAAGTCGAGAAGGACAGGAGTCCCATTTTTGGAAACACTAAAGGATGAAACCAAATTTTATTTCAGGTAGGTGTTAAATATTTTTTTTTGATTAAAAATACTCCATAGGTTCGTTTTACCTTAATTACAATCTGATTATAGATGATCAATGATTAATTTTATAACAATCTAAATTACTATTTGACAAGTATTAGAAATTAAAAATTTAAAAAAACCGACTTCAAAAACGTGCAGATGCCATCACCACATCTTAACCAAATTTATATGGGACCACCCCTAAGGTACCCCCTTACTAACAAAAAAAGAATCATATAAATCGGACAAGGTGGTAAAGCATTATCGCTAAACATACATAAAAAATGAAGAGTTTGAGGATTTTTTCATGGACCCAATTATTAGATTTTGACTAAATTTATATGGGACCACCCCTAACAAAACAAGAATCATTGAAATCGGACACCGTGTTGAAGAATAATCGCTGAACATACATAAAAAAAAAATAAAAAAAAAAAAATCGCGACGAATTGATAACCTCCTTTTTTGAAGTCGGTTAAAAATGAAAAACAAAGGTTTTACACAACGATAATTCTTAGAATATATTAACTTATTTACAAGATTACCGTACTTTCCTTTGCCTTATACTAACACCATTTTACTAAATAAAAGGGTTTTCCATTTGTCTTTTTTTTACATTCGAGTTATCGAGAAACTGGATGACCTTGACATTAATGTAAAGTCATTGGGTAGTATGATTGAACGTTTACGTGTAACGTAGATGTTAGACCGAGTTTTAACAGTAACGAGGCAAGTTTGTGTGATGGAAAACTATTAAATTAGAACATAATAGGCCGAAAATAACAGTTATGTGTTGGAAAAAGTTTTCCATCATACAAACTTGCCTAGTTAATGTTAAAACTCGGCCTAACATGTACGTTACGGATAACGTAAACGTTCAATCATAGCACCCATTGGGTCCTATGATTGAACGTTTACGATAGATTACAATTAGAAAAACACCGCTACGTCATATCTATTATTTCGAATTTTCAATATACAGGTTGTCCCGAAATTGGACAGTCATATTTTAACAGCGTAATCTACATCCTAAAATAGTAGTAAAAGTTCATATAAACATAGGTCCGAAAACTTTCCTTTTCCGAGATACAGGATGTTAAAGGTGAAGTCCTGATACCACACTTTTGTAAATATTTTCTAAACTTTTAAAAATAATTAGATAACATTTGTTACAATTACCTTTTTACGCTTCATTTATTAGTATTAGAAAATAAAAATAAAAAAAAAAGAATTCAAAAACGTGCAGATGCCGTCACCATATCTTAACCAAATTTATATAGGATCACCCCTAAGGTACCCCCTTAGTACCAAAAAAATAATCATATAAATCGGACAAGGTGGTAAAGCATTATCGCTAAACATACATAAAAAATGAAGAGTTTGAGGATTTTCTCATGGGCCCAATTATTAGATTTTGACTAAATTTATATGGAACCACCCCTAAAGTACCCCCTTTCTAACAAAAAAAGAATCATTGAAATCGGACACCGTGTTATTTTGAATTATCACTGAACATACATAAAAAAAATAATAAAAAAAAATATTGCGACGAATTGAGAACCTCCCTCCTCCTTTTATGAAGTCGGTTGAAAATAGGAGTAAAAGTTTGTATAAACATAGGTCCGAAAACGTTTCGTTTTCGAGATACAGGGTGTTACAAGTGAAGTCCAGATGAAACATTTTTGTAAATATTTTCTAAAATTCCTTTAGTTACCGGTTTTTCAAAGTTAAAAAAAAAATAAAATTTCTAATTCTACAGACCTACTTATTATTGTTTACACTTTCGAATAAGGTAACATGCTTTTCTCTTGAAAATGGCGCGCCCTAGCGAGATGCAACAAATGTAGCTTTATTATACAGAAAATATTGGTTTTCCAAATTTTATAGTCAAAAAATCTGAAGTGTCCAACACATGACTTTCCTATCTAGTTATTATAGGGTTTTTCTGGTTATTTTGTATAACTTATTGCAGTACCTCTATAAATGTTTAGAGGATAAACTAAATATATACTTTTTCCACATACATCTACCTCGAAACATTTTTCTATAGTTATTCATTGAAAACGAAAATACTGAAAAATTTAAATTTAGCAATTTTCCTACAATTTTTCCGTTAGGGTCTATTTTAGAAAAATCATGTATAAACAAAAATTATAGAGATCGATATCGCAAACAACTTTTAGTTCAACAATTTTCACAAAAATCAGAATTTTGCACATTTTGTCAAATTTCTCGAATACGGACCATTTCAGGAAATTTTGACATAAAGCAAAAATTATAGATAATAATATTAGAAGTAACATTTATTTGAATAATTTTCTTCTCCAAACATAAATAACAGATATATTCAATAAAATATAAAAACGGCCTTTCATAAAGTACCCCCCCAGATGTTCCGACTTTGTCCAAAATCTAATCTTCTCACTTCAGGCCAAAATAAAACTTAAGTTTAAAATTTAGTGTTTTTCTGTGTATCGGTTCATGAGTTATGGTGAATATAGGCACACAGACACACACGGCAATTTTACCCTAAGCTCCCCCTAATTTACCCACCTAAGAAGATGATTAGTAACTGGGGTTTAGTCCAATAAATGAAGCGAAAAAGGTAAGTATTTGTAACAAATTTTACCTAATTATCTTTAAACGTTTAGAAAATATTTACAAAAGTGTGGTATCAGGACTTCACCTTTAACACCCTGTATCTCGGAAAAGTTTTTGGACCTATGTTTATATGAAATTTTACTACTATTTTAGGATGTAGATTACGCTGTTAAAATATGACCGTCTAATTTCGGGACACCCTGTATATCATCTATAACTATCAATAAATAAAAAATATTTAAGTTGTTTGGTTTAAAAATAGTATTCCTACATTCGTATATTAACAAGCCACTAACCCCCAGTAGGCGGCGATAGCCAACGAATTATACCTAAATTGTAATCGGACCCTACCCAATATGATTATCCTTCAGCGCACGACACACAACATTGCCAAATTTATGTAGCGAACAAGGTTTCAAATACTTTAAGGGAAGGTCGTGAGATTCGTGTGGTCAAAAGGGACTGGATTGCTCTTAAGAATTTTTACACTTGTAATAAAAATATCAGTTATGTATATTCGCCATTTACTACACACAGCAAATTCATAGAGGCAATACATATCACTATTTGACAATCTTATTAAACTCACTAATTTAAAATTGACTTTACAACTAAGTGACTACACACAGAATTGTTTGAAAGGAGACATAAGGTATAATTTATTTATTGGATACTATAAAAAAAATAATAGTAGTTACATGTAGAGTTAACTAACAAGAAATTTAAAAACAAAAACAAAACAAACCTTTATATCTAGTGAACTTAATTTAATAAATTAAATTGTGTTCTAACATCTGAGGCATGACCGACGTAATCGCAGACGCTATTCTTTCTCTTAAATTAGCTAAATCACGTATTTTAGTTTTTGTATATCATATTTTCACATATCGGCATAATAATGGCGTAAGATCAGGTGATCGTGGTGGCCATTCTATCGATTCTCGACTCCTTATTAACTAATTTGTAAATATTTGGTCCAGGTACTGGTGGACATTGTTTTGGTAATCTGATTGTTATCCATCCTGCTGGAACCATATCACATTTGCTGGAACTGGATTTGCTTGACCAGGATATAAATTTGCCAAAGTTGGCAAGACATTATTTTGGAGTAGTGTTAAATAATTATCTTCATCAAATTGAATTCAATGAAAAGGGGACCAAGGTCATGGTTTTCAATTATCCCTGCACAAACATGAACCTTTTTAGGGTATTGTGTGTTGTTTTCTTACCCAGTAAGGATTTTCATAAGACCGCAGTAGCGAGAATTTTGACGATTGATATGCTGTGGAGTTTAGAAGTGCATTTATCAGAAAATACAAGATGAACATTTTCATCATTTGCTCCCAAAAATGCGTTATTTTATCAAAATTGTCTTCCATGAATAGGTATTGTAACGATTGTTTATTTAAAAATAGTTTATTTATTTAAAATAGTTTATTTATAATTTATTTACACTGTGTACTAATTAATTTATTTAATACTTCAGTACTATTATAATTCACACTTCTAAATTATTTTTCAATTATTTACTTTTATTTGACAACATTTATGTTGAAACTTAAACTTCTATCGACAAAGTCCCGCTATTTATATAAAATTGTAACAACCTAGAAAACTTCGATTCTGGGTAGAAGCTCCATGCTAGTCTGCAAGATCACGTAAATACGTCTTCCACGCGTCCAAGAGCGTACAAGAACCATTCTAGTTTATTTCTCGAGTCTTCGAGGTGGACGGGCAGCGATGGCAAACGCCAGACTCTACGTTGCGGTAAAAGTAAATAAAAAACAGGATCGGTTTCAGGCGATCACAGGACAGTATCAATTTAGAGGGTTGCATTATCTTTTAATATTCGAGTGATTGATGTATGGGTAACACCATCTAATATAATATTGCAGCTGCTTGACGACTCGAAAGCATAACGTCCAATTTGGTACTATTACTCAGTGAATTCAAAGTTTTTTTAAATCAAATCTGAATTCTTTAATATAGACGAAAAACAAAAAAAAAAACAAAAAAAAAACAAAAAAAACAAAAAAAACAAAAAAAAAAGTTTCGGGTCTCGAACCACAAACTTGCTATCCATACTATCCAAATTTTGATAGTGTGGATAACAAGTTGGTCGTTCGAGCCCCGAAACTATTAGTTTTTTTTTTGTTTTTTTTTGTTTTTTTTTTCTTATAAAAAAAGGAAAAATATTGTTTTATTATTTCACAGTTTTGGTAATTTAAAATGTTTAGTTTTTAAAAAGTATATACTTATTCAATGCATAGTGGCGCATAACGAGATTCATTCATTTTTATGTTGACCGGCAATTAAACCCCGGAAAAATTGTTTGCCTTTTTGGAATTAATTTTTTTTATATTTAATTAAGACGCTATTAAAATTTCAGCGTAATTCAAACACTTTAAATCATATTTTAAAAAAAAAATCAACTTTGGGATTGATTTATCAATTATAAACCCTCTCAAAAGCCTAAATTACTAGTATTTTTAAAAATGAAAACAAGACGTCAAATTAAATGTTATTTATTACAAATCGCACGTTATTTAAATTCGCCAATCATAAATCGTCATGTTCCTAACTCGCCAATTATAATGCGTCGTGTACCTAACACCGAAGGGGTTACCCCCTCAGTACTTTACAGACCCATTTAAGTAACACAATATGCTATAAGGGTTTTCTAATTATCAAAAATAACCTGATCATTTGCTTTACAGATTTGGTGAAATGGAAAAAGAAGTTGGAATGACCGAAGAAAGCACAAAAGAAGGATCAGAAGAAAACGGTGAAATACCATACGGATTTGTACAAAAGGAAGGTAGCGCTGAAACAATACAAAGTAAAAAAAGTAAAAAGAGAAGAAGCAGGAGCAGAAGAAGCAGAAGTAAAAGAAGCAGGACAAATATGGAGTTAAGACCTCCTAGCGTTAGATCTCCTAGCCGGAAACCTCCTAGCGTCAATAGTAATCAAACCGGCTGGTTAAATAATGAAAACTAATTTAATTACAATTTGTATTCAATTTATTGGTAAAATGTAGTTTTAGTCGTTAAACCAAACCATTGTTTTAGGGTTAAATAAGAATAAAATATAATTTGTATATTTGGTTTTCTATAGTAAAAATAACATATTATTTATTTCTTCTACAATCGCTTTACAAATTAGCCTTAATTGCTTTTTAAAGTCAATGCACTACTTTCTGAGTTATTAAGTATGAGTTATCAATGTGACATGTTGGAAAAATAACAATTAACTGTTAGGACAAATTCTCTTTCCTGTACAAATACCAAATTTAAATTACATATTAGACCGGTCTTGGCACGAAGCGTACCGGCTCTTCGATTTCTAAACTGAAAAAACACCATAAATAGACTTTACAACATTGACTTTTGTTACTTCATCATTCTCTAACGATCTTACCACAACACTTAGTTTATTTAAAACCAACTTTTAAAGAAATTGAGTTTAAATATGAAAGATTTCAATTCTATAACTTGTTCTACTTGTAAGATTGTTTAAAGTCAAAAAGAGAAAGGACATACATTATTTTCTTTAATTTTGACATATTACGTGACATCTTTTGTAATCGCAGCAATATCAAAAGAATCGACTTTATGTAATTAGTTACATAAAGTTGAACATTATGTAACTAGTAACGAGAAGTTCTTTATGTCACTAGTTGCCAAAATAAAACAAAACCAATAAAAATAAACCTTTTGACATCTGCATTAGGTTAAAAATGGTACTTGTCCTTAATTTTTCCGGATCTACTTCGTCCAGGTCCCATATCTGTCTTTTAAGAGTCCTGCTATCCCGTTCTTCATATCAAGTCCCGTATCAGTCTCCCGTGTTACCCAATGTTAGTGAATTCCATTTTTCTTCCTTCTCCTCCTGAATGCTCTTGCCGGCCAGGTCAATCCCTCAATCTTTTGGAATTCCTTGCAAATTTCTTCCTTAATAATTATGGCCCAGATTATTCCTATATCCTGATCTTCCGGCCTCTGTTTTACGAAGAGTTTGACGTCTTCGTCCGTTTGGGTTTCAGTTCCCTTGATTCCTGCTTCTCCATCTTAGTCCTGAGGTTGTCTGTCTTCCACCTAACAGTTTTCACTACCCCATCTACTGTCATTTTTTCTTTTATTTCCTTTTTTGTATTTGGATGTTTAACTGGCGCTGCTACTATACCCTCCACCGCCTTTAACGATTTAAACCTGTTTTATCTCGGTTGTTCATCCTTTTACCCCAAGAAGTTGTCAAAACGCATTTCCCCCTCATCATAGTCTCCTGTGGCACTTCCCCTCTTTTTCCCTCCCTCCTCGTCTTCAACGCGTATAAGTAACATGCAAGATGGTAATCTAATTTTAGGTTTACTCGTATTAAAATTCAATTAGGCCGGTTTATTATATTTATATTCTTTAAATGATAATAACAGAATAAGAGGTCATGAATTTAAATTGCAAAAAAAACTATAGGACTAAACACAGACAATATTTTTTAACAAATAGGATCTTTGAAGTATATAGTATGGAACGGCTTTCCCAATAATAAAGAAATCGTATTAATTTGCTATTGTCTACAAGTCATTCTAAATTGTTAGGCTATTCCAAACTTAGTTATCAGCCTTTAATTGTGTTTAATATTAATGTAAATGTAAAAATTTAATCACAAATTTTATAGAGTATCTGAAACATTCAAATTTTGTATACGTTATTTCTAATATTTTTTACAAAATGTTTATAAAATATCACTGCTTTCATGTTTTAAAGAAAATATTAAATTTTTTTAACCTATCGTTACACCAGGTGAATTAATATCTAAAAAGTTTAATTATGAAATAATTTCATGAGTATTTAAACCGACAAATCATTTTTTAGACTTTCCAGGGATGAAGGTACAATGAATCCATACGGCACTGGTGACTTCCTTCCACTTGACTTTGAAGATTTCTTTTTAGGAACAGATACAGACCTTGACCTACTTCTAGCGAATGAGCGTGTTTTAGAAGCTGACTTGGATTTAGTCTTTTTCTCTTCTTTATCATCGTTATTATCACTATTTTTACTGGTATCACCATTATCTGATCTATTTTCGGACTCAGGAATTTCTTTCAGCACTTCCAAATTTGGTTTGCTGGCGTTGTTAAAGTTTATATAAGCTCTGAATTCTGCTTTAACTATTTTCCAGAAGGGAAGTCCAGTTCTTCTTTTCACATAAAGAAGGTAAAAAAAGTGTTCTAATAGGACCAGCACTGCTGCTAGTATTGTACCAAAAAAGGTCATCCAAAAGCAGCCTTCGACGTTTACCAATCCAAGAGGATCTGCTTCTGCAGCTTCGGTGGTTCCCTAAAAACATCAAAGTTTTTTTTAAATCAAATATTTTAAGGAAGCCACTTTTAAAACGATTTAAAATAGATATTGTAATATAATAGTATAAATTTATTAACATATTATAGTGGCTTAAATCAGGCAGTGTTGCCGCCACATATTTATTAGGGACATATAATAAAGAGACATTTATTAAACTTATCGTGTTACGCATTTGTTAACAATAAGAGACATTTAAAGTGACATCTTGTATTACTTCAGCAGGGGTTCGGACACTTGAGTTTGGGAACTTTTTAAAGACCGTGGGAGCTAACGTAATGCGTGGATGGAGTCGGGTCGCCAGTGGGGAATAAGGGGGATGGGGGGAGTGAAGAATGGGGGGGAGTGGGGAATGAAGGAGTAGGGAAATTAAATCTCTATTAATGCCAAACGAAAAAATTATGCGATTGCCAAAAGGACCTAAGTGTGTTTCTTTATTGCTATTGGTTTGATTCAAACGGGAAAAACGGCAATATGTAGAGAACTTGGTCGGACGAGTAATAACCGAGAAACACGATTACTTTCTTTTGGCATTGCTATTGCGCATGATTTTTTTATTCAGCTTTCATCTATACCGTGTTCTCTACATAATGTCGTTTTTCCCGTTTGAATTGCACCGGTAATAATCGAGAAACACGCTTAGGTCTATTTGGTATTGCTACTGTGCATGATTTTTCTCTTCAACGTTCATCTATACCGCGTTATCTACAAAAGATTTTGGACACCAATGCTTTTTAAATGGAAACGTGTAGTTCACTCTGGACAGTAGAGTGCTGGTGTGGATATTTAAGTAAAGATTGGACAAATATTGCTATTAATTTAAATGGGGGAAAGTTATTTGTAATTGGACAATGAAAATAATATATATTTTGTTTCAAAATTTTATTTTTAAAGTAACAGTATTAAGTATTTACAGTAACTCAATGAGTTTTAAAATTGTCTCTCTTTGAAGCTCAGCTTTTTTATTTAGAGCAACTTTCAGTAAACTTGTAATAAGTTTCTTTTTCTTAATTTGTTTTTCTTTGTAAATATTCCTAATTTCCATTCTCCTTTCTGTTTTATAAAATTGTATTCGTTTCTCGTTAGCTTCTTCCCTCCACCTTATTTCTTCGGCACTTCTATCACATCTACATGTGGATTTATAATGCAGTTCTTTTTCTGATGTGTCTTTAGTCTTTAACACCTTCAGATACTAATTCTGAAATTTCTGTACGTACTAAGCAACACTGTTTTTCTCGGAAATGTAACTAATTTTTTTTTAATACTCTTCTATTGTAATAAGAATGAGGTGTACTTCTAAGACCATCTTAATCCCTTCCAAGCGGCTTTTGTCCATCAGCACAGCTGATGTATCTGAGGACACCAACAGCATGGTCCAAGCAAATTATTTTCTTGAAAGTTGTTTAGTTGTTTTTGAATGGAGTCGTGTACCAATGCGCTGTAGTTTTTTCTTGTAGGCTAGACATTGTAAATCCATCAGTAAAATGTATTAAAGCGTGAAGATGTTCATGTGCTGTGTTACCATCGTCTGCTATTAGATGACATCGACAAATAGTTTTAACCCCCTTTTCTTCACCCCTAAAAATAAAGAAAAGGGTTGGGGTGGCGCTAGGCTATTCTTCGAACAGGGGTTGCTCAGGCGACAGTTTTGGTCACGCAGTCTACTCTGCGGCCCTGGGGTGCACCTAGAGTACACCCTCAGCAGACTCAGTGGAGTCCAGGTACAAAAGAAAAGGAAATAAATACAACAACCAGTCCTTCACTGCTTACTTGACCTACAATGGGGCAATAAAATAAATGTAAAAACAAAATTTCGCACTGCACTTTAACCTGCTAATAACTAACCTCTGAAAACTGAAAAAAAGTAAAGGGGTATCTCAAAATTAAACTCGGGAATTAAAACCAAATATATATTTACAAATAAAATAAACAGTCAACAAATAAAATAATTGGAACTAGGGTGAAATAACACCACCCGGTATATGTAACAACGGTAAAAAATATAAACAGATCAAATGTGTTGTTGATAAAGTAAACGGTCTCGGTATCAACAGAAAAATCCTACAATGGTAAAATTAGCTATGACTTATACTATATTCATGAGAAAATAAAAATAAATAATTTCCTCAAAAAAAAAAAAAAAACGGTGGGCAGTAACACCCATTGCACAAATTCTTTTCTACTAACGAAAACAACCGGTTTTAGTAGTAAGAGAAAAAAAATCCTACAACAGTAAAATTATGGTTTGAACTATAATTATTAGAAAATAAAAAATATTAATTTTCTCTCTCGGTGATTAATATTAGAAATTTATAAACGGCGGTGATCTGTATCACTCTATACTCATGAAAAGAAAATAACTGTTGCACTTGTAAGAATATTTGTTAATATCCTCTCCGCACTTATTACTTTACATCAGGCACAATAGCCCTAAATAACGAATGAATTTAAGACCGAATCGTTCGACCAATACTTTAGGGAACAGTGACGGTTTTTTTTATTTATTCGGTTTAAAGTTTCTCTTATGTAGACATCTGGTAGTCCATAGCTTCTACAAGAGAGAAACCCTTTCCCCGACCTGTTATAACGACTAGGGGCTAAAACAGCTCTGATTATCGACGGGGGGAACAAGCGAATACCGCTATCACCCCCTGGTTAACGCGAAAATGGATGCCCCCGGATTTAAATCCAATTTACTTTATTACCCTAACAGGTACTAAGGAAATTAAAAGTACAGGTCGAATTCCTTAATTGGACAATGGAAACAGAAAATGAACGTTGCAGGGAGAATTATTGGACGGAATTTTAATAAATTTCGAAAAATCGGTCTCGAACGGCAAAACTACTCTAAAGCAAAGTGTAACGTAAATTCGTCAATAGTCAACAAAAGCCGGGATGGAAGAGATAGCTCACATCAAAACGTCTGCTTTTATCAAAAGTCGGACTTTTGCCAGAGTGGGGACGCTAGTTCCTACTCCTTTGTTATTAATTGTTTTGCAAAAAAAAACGTTGATTGGTCGGCATACTGATAAACCTACCAGAATTGAGATTTTAAGACATGATTTAATTTATTGTGATAATGAAAAGTTTTAAACTACGAAGGCTCTTGCAAAGGTTTAAAAACGGTAATTCTATGGAAATATTAGTTCGAAAATGTTCATAGACGGAAATTAGTTTTAGAAATTAATTTAGGGAATACATTAAAGGAAATTTTAGTGACTTCGTCACAATAGAATACCATTTAATATTTGGAGCACAAACAAGTAAATTAGTCCTTTTCATTTAATATTAAGTGATACCATTCTTTAGACAATTCTTCGTAATCTTATGCCATTTCCTGTGGCGACAATGCGTTAATTTCGTTTGGATTCAAGAGAGTCAATTATTCAGTTTTTGACAATGAAGACATTTTTTTGTTATTTTTAGAGAAGCTACTCATAGAAAATATTTCAGTAGACTGGAAGAGTCTTTAATGTCTCAATACCTTAAATAAATAATTTATTAACCCCACCACCAGGACTGGTATATCTAGGGGGTCGCGACATAGGAGTCCATTTTGTACGCCATTTTTTTCTAAATAGTAGTCGCCCATTGATCTGGCAACATGGCAACCTGTAGTCGCCAGGCTTACCAATATAAGAAAAAAAATCAATGTCTTTTTTTTAAATTACATTTTTATTATAAAATGCTCATATTTTTTAGGATAAAATTTTTCAATATAATAAATTATTAATATTCTCACATGTACATAGAATACGTAGTAAAAAGTAGATCACTCTCACTTTTGAGCTGTTTTGGTTTGGTTTATTTTAAAAGGTAATTGAAGAGATGAAGACAATTTTCTTATAGATTAGGATGCTTAACAAATTATGACTCCCTTTTTTAGAGCTCCAGCCCTCTAAGTCTATTTATTTTAGGTCTTTTTAAATTGTTGGTAAGTATTTTTTAATTTAAATTATTTTGTGTAATATCTTGCGATTAATTTTTTATACATTTTAGCATGTATTTATTGGCTACATATTACAAAGGATGACTTTGAAATACCTTTACAAAAGAGGTACTTTCCTAAAATTGGCCGAAATTTGAAACTGAATACAGTTTTTAGAAAAAACCAAAGTTTAGTAGCTAAGCAAAATATTTCAGTATCTCCAGAATTATAAACGTATAAAAACTATAATAGGAAACATGTATGGCTTCGAATAGGAAATTACCTAAATTAGAATATCTAGTGATTATATTTAAATAATATATTTTTCATCAAAACTTTTGTGCTTCTACTCCAATATTAACCATATAGAAATGCATATGCATTTTATAGTATTAAGCAAGATTCCGATCAAATGTACCCACAATTTATAAACATTATTAAACTAAAATAAAACATTTCAAATAACACCTATTTTTTATTTAAATAAAACATGTTAAATATATGTTTTTATTAAATACAAAATTAGTCTCAACCACATATTTTTGTTTTTGTTTTTACTTTTAGTGTAAAAGTGACTACTAATTCACAGTCTTTCAAGTTTATTATTTAAAGAGACCAGCTACTACAAAATATCTTATTGATGATAACTAATTTTTTTTAATAATGGTTTTGCATTTATTAACATTTTACAGCACTTTATTTATATGAAACATCTATTCGGCTCTTAATTAAATCACATATAAATCAAGTAATTACATTTTCATATTCAACTTATGTATTCTTATTAGAACTTAGTCACTTTTTTTTTAATTTGAATTTTTTGACTGTGATAACTAGTCCATTCACCAATCACAACTTAGTCACTTAAAAATGTTGAAAGAAAATGTCATAAAGGTAAAATTCCTTCTATGGTGTATTTCATGCAATTTTAGGTTGTAAACGTTTTGTCCAACACCTTTTTTACAATTTATCCCAAGCAACACTATGAAAGATTTAAATCCTGGATTTACAGCATTCATTTTTCTATGCAGCATTTAATTTTAAGATGAGTGCAGTCAAATGCAGTTTCAAAGATAATTTTCACATGAACACTTATTTACCACAGCACAAACGCATGTACGTATTAATGTAACATTAAAATAAAGTGGAAACAAATTGCATAATTTGGTATATAAAAAAGTACAAAATGTTTTCAGTTTTAATTCACATTCGACTACGAGGAAAACAGTGGTTCATTCTACATTCCACTTGTACCATATCGACATTATTATGTACGATGCACGTTAAAAGTAGATCTGTCTCTGTTTTTATAATAATATTACGGCAGGACAATCGATAACCGTGGATTTTGCCAAACGAACATCAGAAAAGTGTTGCCAACTTAAGCTGACTACTATTTCCCTCCTAGCCTCAGTCGCCCCCTCATCCATTTACTGGGTCTATGTCGCGATCCCCTTAGATATACCAACCTTGCCCCACGACCAAGATTCTTGCGCATGCGCAGTAGTACAAACGAACGTGATGTAAACGTCATTGCAACATGCGCTCACGCGAACGAAGGTTAGGTTAGAAAGGCATACGAGAAGTTTTCCTTGTTATGCAAAATTTGTTCATCTTAAAAATCGTGTACAGAATTGTTCCATCACGGAATATATTGTAATGGTTCCACCTTGTACGAGGCAGAATTATTACAAATTATTTTAACACTAAGGGTGTGGTTCCAATGGCTTCCTACAGTAATATAAAAGAAATCAATGTTTAAATATCAAATTTAAATTTTAAAAACAAGAAATCTTCGATCTTCTTTGCTTTTCTCTCTGTAACTCTGGTTTGACCTTCTGCTTTTTGTTATATATTTTATCCTGTTCTAATTCTTGCATTTTCTGTACTTCTTGTTCTCCTGCCTTCAGCTTTGTTTCCTTTTCATGTCTGCTCATTTGCTACTTTCCCATATACTTCGTTTCTTACCTCTTTTTTTGTATTCAAGTTTTTGCTAACTTTTTAAATTATGCTTGTTCTTTGTGTTTTACTAATCTTTGTTTCATTTCAACTCAATCTTTAACTTTAATAGACAATTTTTAATGTAATTCCCATTTTAATTGTATAGTTATTGTAAAAGTTAAGTTGAAATAAATTAAGATACTAAAAACCAATGTAAAAATATATTTATCGTTCGATAGTTGAATTAGTTGTTAATAACTAAAGCTTAATAAAGTTGCCGAGCCATGCACTGGGTCAAATTATGGAGAACAAGAGAATAATATAGGTGAAGATGGATATAGTGGAAGTGTGGATTCATGCAATGTAATCTGTTATAAAAACAATTTTGTAATTCTGTTGATATGAAAAAAAAAAAAAAAAAAATTAATTTCAAATGCCGCAGATAGAAAAAGATAAATAAAGATGGTTTATTTTGCCTGAGCAAAAAGTTGAGACTCGGGTTGAGATAAGGACATAATGGAAACCATTTAAGGCACTCGAAAACCATAATAGTACAAATCATGCGTTGTATCCACTTTTTGCGTGAAGCGCATGTTTTGTACCGTAATATTATAGTTTTCGACTGTGTAAAGGTAAAGGATGTGATTTTCTTTCATTTTCCCAGTTTGGAGGGGACCGATATAGGGTTTCCTAACCTCTTCAGCCGCACTGGAGGAATGTGGGGTCGATCTGAGGAGATAGGGTGGAAATAATGGTGATATGTATCTCAAAAAATGTTATTGACCCAGCATTTACCCATAGCTATAAGAAAATCTCTGAAAAAACTCATAGCAGGTCAGACGGTAGTGTGGCTAGAACTCACGACCTACCAGAAGCAAGGCAGACGCGTTATTGCGGAGCCACCTCGCCTGGTTTCACGTGTGTTGGAACAGATATAATTTATACTTACACCACATGCCCCTCCTCCTCTTCTATCTTCCCACCATTTTTTCTTTAAATCATCTAGAAAATGGTTTGATTGCAACTTCAATAAAGCCATGCTTAACCTTTTTCGATAAGGTGAATCTGAAAAAGGATATTTTGTAAAATCAAAAGCACCCAATTTCATAAAATTTAGATAAATCCAAGCGGGGATGGAAAACGGAGGAGATGACGCCACTTTCGTCACAATCTTTTTAACGATTGTATGTGTAGGTGTCATTAGATTTTGATTTTAGTTATATTGTAGTTGTTTATCATCCAAATCTAAAACATTTTAATAATATAAGAGAAATAACAAACTGATGAAAAATTAAAATAAATTGGGAAACTTTGCCCCTGGTTTACTTTCGAGAGGAGAGATTGAGCCGATGTGTCTAACCTCTCTCACAAGTTTTCCTTACATTTCAAACAAGTTTTCAAAGTTACTCCAGGAGAACCACATTTGTAACAAAATTTATTTTTATTAGTTGATTTACAAAACCTAAAAGCGTGATTAGCTTCATTACAACGCCAACATATAAATGAATCTGAACTTTGATTGATTATGTTACTATTAACCCCAGTTTTTGATTTATTTAATCCTTTAAAATTATTTTTGGGCTTACTATTCTTGCTAAAACTTTCACCTATGCTTGTTTTTGAATCTGAGATACTATTGACTGATTTATTTTGACTTGAATTAGAAGCTAGCTTTAAAACATCGCCTTCATAAAGAACTCAGAGCAGAAATTGTATCAATATCACTAAGTGCTATCCGCATGCGATATTCTGGATGTAATCCCAATTTGATATATTTAACTCTTGACTGAACAGAGGGTTGCTTCGACAATCTAGAAAAAAGATTTTCCATACAAGCAATAAAAATTACAACCGGTTCATTAAGGCCTTCTTTTCTTTAATTTGGTTCCAAATTTGATCATCAAAATCAGCTGACAAAAAATCAGTCTTTAATTTTCTAACTAAAGATTCCCAATCGTTAACTTCTAATTTAATTTGTCTAAACCAAAATGTCGCCTTATCAGAGAAAAGATCACTAGCTGCATTAAATAACTCTACTTTTGAAATATTTCTAGCATGAGCCAATTCCTTAACTCTTTCTAAAAAATTCAATAACGATCTAGGATCTCCATTAAACTGAATACCCAACTTATAAACTGGAACCGACTTAGTAGCGTTACTTGAACAACAAACAGTGTTATTGCCTGCAATAGTAGTAACTAAGGTTGAATTACCTAACTCTGTTGTATCTTTGATGTTTTCATTTAATTCGGCATCTAACTGCAATGTAGTTACATAAGCTTCATTCTTAAAATTTACTATTTCTGAATAACTACTATCATTGGGATCTAATTTTATTCTTTGGATTCTTTTAGTGACATGAAAAATTCTAGAGTTAGCTCTTTTATAAGCAGAATCAGATGTAGGTCCATCAAAATCTGCAACTAAATTCTGAATTGATTCTAGAGAACTATTAATCTCTGTCATTTCAACTGAAAAATCAAAATCTGGATCTATTAGTGACTGGACATCTACACCTTGTATCCTTTCTTTATCTAAGAATCTATTTAATATTTTACGTTTACTAGACTGATCTTTATTTGTAACTACGCCTCTAATTTTTAATTCATAATTTAATTCATTTATCAATAAATGAGCGGCTTTGAAACTTGGATCCATCTTTAAAGTATAATTCAAAAAAATGTCAAGAGATCTAATGGAAATTTATCAGGCAAGGTGAACAGTTTCCCAAAAAAAATTTCAAACAGAAAAAAATTAAAAAGATCTAATCTTGGGACAATAATGGTTTGTCCTAACTAAAAAGAAATGAACTGATACTAAAAGCTTTTACAACATTCTATACTTCGATTTCAAGCTATTTATGAAATCCAATATATAAACTACAAAATACATTCACAGCACACGGGACGGCTGTGCCAATGTTTTGCAAAAAATTACCAAAACATCTATGGAACATCGGCATCGATCAAATAATCATAAGTCAAAACTCTTTTACTATCGTGCCTTAAACACCCCCTGAACTTGCCCGAACCTCGTATTATATTATTATTATATGAGTTTTTATTTAGATTTTTAAACTTGAACAAAACTGAAAACTAACACGCATATATAGAGAAAACCTTCAAACAAATTGATTAATAATATTGCTTGATTCTAAAGAAACAAATGTTTGCTCAATTATTTTGTGATAAAAATTACTTCATTTTGAAAAAAAACTACAGCTCCCAGACGTTGGTCGCCATTTTGTAGCATTCAAACTACATATGCCGGAGCTGTTCGTCGGAGAGCGTCGCAGGTTCGAAGTTAGATAATTAAATGAGTTAAAAATTTAAGCTTGAATGAATAAAAATAGTTAGGATTAAATTTAGAAAAATTGGTTATAGGGCGCCACTGGATTCTATAGTTTATGAAGTTCCAGGCCTAGAATCCAGAGAAGCCTAGGAACTCTATGAATTAGGTATCCTCTGTACAAATATATATTTGGATAGGTCTTTACGTAAAAAGTCTAAATAAAAACTCAATGATTTAACATTTATTAAACAACAGTTTAAAAAAAAATAAAATAAGAACAGGAAAATGAAAGTTTTGACTATATCGCTACCTACTTAATACAAGGGAATTTGTCTCGATTGGCCAATTGATACTTACAACTAAAATTTATTTTATGTAAGTAGACGCATTTACTTTAAATGTCTATTTAAAAACGTTGTCTGAATTGACTGACTAAAAAAAAATAACTAAAGAAATAAAGGAAAATTAGGGGCTTATCTGTACAAGTCCACAAATGGACGCAGACACGTAGATCGCCTTAGCTGTCGGCTTGACTCGCTTCTTGAGATTCAAGTTGGCCGATGACTATCGCGCCAAGGACAGGGACGGGGGACGAATCTGAATTTGCAGCAACTTAAGTTTCCTCAGCTTCTCGGGGTTGACTATAACACCAAGGACATGGATGAGGGACGAATCAGAACTGATAGCACGGCTATCCAAGTCTCCTCAGCTTCCAAGTTGAATTTGGTTTACAGCTAATCCTCGAAGATGTTTAACCAAAAATGGAAACCCCAAGTTGGTAACTTACGCTAACCAACGTTAATCTCCAAAACCCAAAAAAAAGGTCTTGACTTCCACCTGACTTGTCAGATATTGGCGTTTTTCAATCAACGATCATTCGATTTTTATCAAAATTTATCTTAGTAATGAATGTTGCATAAGCAGTAGGGCTAACTTATATTGAAATTACCATAAAAGTATGAATAAAAGAAGTTTAATGTAAAGTAATTATTTTAAAACGCTACAAAGTAGCAATTCCATGGACTAACAGTTCATATGTAGATATTTTATGATTTTGTTGAATTTTAGTAGAACATGTGAAGTTTTATCTTCATTTGTTTTAGTTTTTGGTATGCCAGACCTTGGGCGATTTAGTACGTTACAGGTTTCATTATTCCCGAAAGTGTATATGTACTTAAAGGAGGCATTTGAGGAGATACATCATTGAACAGGTAACTTATTTCTCCATAGGTACGTTTTCTATTATCATATCTAATAAATACGTCTTGTCTCATTTGCGTTAAACTTAAAGTGGAAGTTGTGGGTGGTGCCAGGCTGTAATCTAGAACAAGGGTTATATAGGCGTTAATTTTAATAAAGCGTTTGCTTTGCCACTCTAGAGTACACCTATAGTGCACTCAAAATAGCCTCAGGAGCGCGTTCAGATGCTACTACACGGGAGTGTACTAATTTTTTTAGATCGTTTGCCCGGGTTTCTCCAGAGTAATTCTCATTTGATCAAAATTTCTGAACGTTAAAGAAAGTAAACGTAAACGAATTTTTTAAAACAGCCGCAGGCTCCTGCAGTGTACAGGTCAACAATATTATACTAACATGTCTATCTTGAAATAACATTCCAAACAGCCATTTGAATTTACACTAATTGCCTTATTGTTTATTTATGTACTAAAATTGACTTAAAAGTAATTCGAAGTTTCGAGGCCTATTTTTTAATATGTTTTTCTGAAATTTGGCATGCATGTTTATAAAGTCGTGCAAAATGGTGCTAGAGAGTTCAAAATTTGATTTTATAAAAAAAAACATTTTTAATACATCAACAAAACAAAATTTAAAAAAAAAACGAGTCTGTAGCCGTATTTCTATTTAAAAAGTATAATGTATATTTCTACTATTTTTGTTTCTACAATGCCTATTTTTATATATTTTATTATATATTTTTAAATATAGTTCAGTGGTAAAAACTAGTGGAATCGCGTTAAAACTGCAGAATATGCCCCGATCTACCGGCAGAGGGGAAATACTAATTAGGTCTCACAACTACATTAATTTTACGTTTCTGTACTATTTTTACTTTCCTATCTGTATACAGATATAAGGAAAGTATAGGAATCATGATTTTTTTCGACCTCGAGTTTTCGACGGATTTTTACGTTTTGAGGTCCCCTGAATCCGTTTTGACTATTTTCGCGATGATGTCTGTGTGTGTGTGTGTGTGTGTGTGTGTGTGTGTGTGTGTGTGTGTGTGTGTGTGTGTGTGTGTGTGTGTGTCTGTGTCTGTATAACGCATAACTCATGAACCGATACACAGAAAAACACCAAATTTTAAACTTAAGCTTTGTTTCAGCGTCCAATGAGCTGATTAAATTTTGGGCAGAGTCGGAACATCTGGGGGGGTACTTTATAGGTGGTCATTTTTATATTTTATGGAATATATCTGTTATTTACGTTTGGAGAAGAAAATTCTTCAAATAAAAGTTACTTCTAATATAATTATCTATAATTTTTGTTATATGCAAAATTTTCCTAAAATGGTCCGTATTCGAGAAATTTGACAAAATGTAAAAAAAATAATTTTTTATAAAAATTGTTCAAATAAAAGTTGTTTGTAATATAATTCTCTATAATTTTTATTCCATACATAATTTCTCTAAAATGGACCGTATTCGAGATATTTGAGAAAATGTGTAAATTTCGAATTTTGAAGAAAACTCAAAAACGGATATAGAAAAAAACATTAAATTTTAAACTTAAGGTTTATTTTGGCCTGACGTGCA